AACAAAATTGATTGGCGCCTTACTAAGTTTCTTGGCTTTTGAGAGAATCCGTTGTACCAATTGGATATTTCTTCAACGCATTTCTCTCTCTCTCTCTCTCTCTCTTCTATCTCACCACTCTCTCTCCACTCGCTCATTCTCTCCTTTGTTTCTCCCCTTACCTTCTCTTTCTCTATTTCTCCCCAACCCTTTCTCTATCCCTCTCTCTTTCTCTCCGATCTCTTTCTTTCCCCCACCTCTCTCTCTCTATCTACCCCTCTCACTCTCTCCTCCTCCCTTTTATTCACTTCATTTTGTTCTCTCCTTTGTCTATCCCTCAATCTCCCACTCTCCCCTCTCTCTCTTTGAATTTAAATGCACTTAGAAGCCAATTGCTTTGATGTTTCTTGAATTCTCACTACTGACAAAGAAAAAAATTGATATTTCGACGTGACTTCTAAAGACATAAGCCACTGAATTCTCCGCCATAAAAGCCCTTCCTCTCTGTGGATGTGTCTGACTTCATAATGTGTTCGAAGGAAGCTTTTGATAAATTATTTACCGATTATGAAACGATGTAATTAAAACCATTTTGTTTCCATTTAACTCAATATGGTTATTTTTTTATTTAAAATTTAAAGCCTCATATTTTTCTAATTGAGGGAAAGTAAAATTTTGACTTTGTAAATAAAGAGAGAGAATTGTCTTTCACTAAAAATGTGTTGATTGATTGGCTGGTTTGTTTTCTACGGGTTATCAACCCGTTGCAAGTTATTTAAAGCCATAAAATATAGTAATATTTTTTGTTGTTGTTTTTGGGGATAAAAATGGTTTTGTGATACTAATAAGAATTTTATAAAAACAAAAAAATTATAATGTGGATGTAAAGTGGGAGATCAATTCCATATTAAAAATTAATATATAAACTGATCCTTCACTTTGTGACCAAGGTAGTTTCTATAAATTTCTATTGCAGAGAATGTAAATAGATGCCTACGTGGCTAATCCGTTCGTTCTCTATGCCTTATCAACTCTTTGGAGAGTGTTTAAAGATATAAAATATTTTTAGATTGTATTTTTTTTTTTTTTAGATTTTTAATTAACATATAGTTGGTCAATGAGCAAGACCGTACGCACATTACGTGTTTACTCCCGATGTTACTCACGCACACACGCACGCACGCACGCACACACACACACGCACACACACACACACACCACTCTCTCCCCTCTCTCTCTCCCCCATATCTCTCTCTCTTCCCTCTCTCTCTCCCCCTCTCTCCCCCCTCTCTCTACCCCCCTCTCTCTCTGTAATAGTATGAAGCTCATTGTGTGAAAACTTATGTGGACAACTTTAGTTTGAATTTGAGTTTTCCTTTTTTTAAAATAATAATATTTTAGTCATACAAGTTTAACTGATACGAATGAATCCATAGCTAGCGGGGGAGAAGACGTGGGGTCATACTTTTGCCAACTCGGATCCCCGATTAACAATTCCGAGCCATTATCCATTAAACCAGTTAAAAATCCAAGCTTACAGCATTTTTAAATATTCTCAAGCAAAAATGTGTGTAATTATAAAAAAAAAATATTACTACAGATCTGGAGTTTAAACAGGGTACATATACATCCATATATACAACATATTTAGAACATAGTTAACCATCCTTTTCTTTATATATCTGGCATTTGTCGTTTTCGGGTGCACTCAAAGAATTATGTCTCAGCAGCTGATGGCAGCGCAGCTTCTTTTATGGCTGTACAGGCCCACACGGGAGTGACAGCCTCGATTGCAACAAATTCATGTAAAGACAAGCCCCCACCCCACCCCGATGTCGCCTTGTGGCTTTCTTTCCGTCGAGCACGCTTCTCCCCGGCGGCAAGCCTCCATTTCTCTTCTCGTCACTCCAGCCCTCAAATTGAGCGATCGTTGGCGATGTCTTCCCATCTCTCGATGTTCATGTCCATCGCCTTCATGTACCTATCCTCAGACGTCCTTGAGGCGAAGATGATGTCACTCACGTGCCCTCTTGCCGGTGGCCAGTTCCCCGTACAGAAGGACATTCTTTTATATATTTATTTAAATAGGGACAAAAATTATATTAAATTGTAATGAATATTATAAAAAGAAATTAATTGATGGCTATTTTCTTTTACTAAATGTTCACCTAATTAAATAATCATGATCTTCTCAAAACATAGGATTACTGATTTAGGTGTTTGATATGAATGTCAAAGGAGGAGGTAGGAAATAAAGATTATAAGGTTATGAAGGGGAGATAACAATTTACCTTTGACTTTGGGGAATGAGTAGCCATGGTCAAATGAAAAAATAAATAAGAGAAGTCTCTAAGAAACAGAACTGACAAAGTTTGCCATAAGAAAAGAAAGAATGAAGGCAAAAATAATCTAAATCAAACAAATAATATATATATAAGACAAATCAACAGTAATATGGTAAAAAAAAACGTTGATACATAAAAGCAAGATCGGACAAGTGAACGTAGCGTTCTGACTTCAAGACATAACAGATCGGGACTGAGCAATATGAAACAAACCTAAGATAAAAATCCCAGCCTGCGTTCATGTGCTTCTGCCTATAAAAGCGGAGGGAAAAGTGTTTTGCAAATCATTCTTAGAGTTTGAAACCAACAGACATGAAAAGGATAAGATTTTAGGCTTCACGGGGAAGTCTGTTCCACAAAGTAGCAGTCTTTGTGCAAAAAGATTTCTGAGTACAACATTCTCGTTAAAATTGGAATACAGGGAAAGTGACGATGATTTGGCCTCGTGAATGTGACATGGCAGGTCGTAGTTGCAACGATCTGACTGGGAGAATGAATGGGAGCTTGTCTGAACCTGTGCCATGAGCACGCTAACAGAGTAACGATAAGCTTACAACTTTGCGTCTGTGGGGAAAAATATGATCATGTAAACAACCAAGAATTCTGTCAAAGCAGGCATGTGATGATTGTGCAGATCGAGTCCAGATATATCAAGACCCCATTTCTGTTCTAGCCTGACCTTTGTTAAGATAAACCGTAACAGAATAGTTTCTGGGGCGTTTTCTAGCATATATAACAACGGATCTTATTATTTTGATACTAGCAGCATGGCCCCGCGTTGCCCGTGCTTGATTCAAAAATCGTACGACTCATACAGCAATCGATATCACTTGACTTAAAATTTTTTGCCCTTCCTTGCTTTTTTTAAAGGAGTGCCCTTGCCTATCTCACACTTCGAATTTTTTTTTTCTAATTTTCTATACTAAACATTAAATCTGTTACGAAAAAAAGAACTAAACAAAATGAACACAAAACGATCAGCTTTAAAAAAGGACTCGTAACTGGAAAAAACGAATGAAAAAAGAATATTAACAACAAATACGTTTTCACAACCAACCCAGTTCTGCGGAATCAGAATCAACGTTGAGTTTAAGCAAGTGAATGAGCCAATTGGAGTAAAGTGCCATGCAGATTTAAATTTTTCCTACTTGTGACGAATGCAGCTATCGATTTTTTTTGCATGCTAGCATGCTAGTTAACATTCGTGTCAGTCAGCTGTTGGCTCTCACGCTGGCCACTAGAATCTTCCTGCCTATTCGTGGCAGCCAGCTATTGGCCCTCACTCTGACCAGTAGAAAATGGCCGCAAACTACATGAAAACTGCCGTAGAAGCATGAAAACAACGATTATTTCCACTATCGATGGGAGTTGGAAAATGCAAAGTCGGTCTTGGCCTTCCCACTTACTAGGAGCATGTGCATGTAAATTTTGGTGCAAATCTGTCAAAAATTGCGGCCGTGCATTCGTTACACACACACACACACACACACACACACACACACACACACACACACACACACACATATATATATATATATATATCCTGCCTTTTATAGATAGAGATAATACGCGGACAACGCTGGTAATTCTACTACTAAGTCATAAAATAGATTGCATTCTTCGCCCAAGTTTTTCCTTATGGTATGTGTCTGAATTTAATTTAGGACTATACGTTGCCTACAGATTCTTCTTTCCTTCCGAAGCCAATTGTCCTGATGATGACGGTAGTTATGCTGATGACATAGGTATTCATAGTTGGGACAAGAATGTTCTTGAACAGAATATCAACACTATCTATCAAGTGTTCCAAGAAATAGGACAAAGAAACCGTTCTGAAGCAGAATCTAGGATATTAAATTGGAGTGAAAGCGGTGATGACATATACCTTGAATCCATCGGAAAAAATTCAGGAATTTGAATAAGTAAAATACTAAATACTTCAAATACCTTGGCGTGTGGATCAGTTATAACAAATTAAATATAGAAGAAAAGGAAACTAGATATAGAATAGGCTGCGCCAAACTGCTACAAAACTAAAACATCAATCTGAAAACTCGAGTGATGTTCTTAAATAACCTCATCTAATCGATATTTCTATATGGATCCCATACATGGCGCCATACCTGTTCAGAAATAGCTAAATTGTCAGATGTGTACAAGAGCTTTTTAAAATCAATGGTTAAAGAAAAACTTTGAGAGCGTGAAGCGTGAGGGTCTTGGTAAAAAAACATGCTTCTTTGAATATGCGTTACAGATTAGCAAACAAAGAACTGTTCCAAATAACAGAATCCACATTACTTGAGGACTACCAACTGCAGTAACAGCTAAAATGGATGGCACGTGTAACGAGAAAAGAAAATAATGACATAATCAAGATCCAGACATTCCACATTTCTTCAAACAAAAGGTTAAGAAAAAAAAAAACCATCAATACTGGAAAGAGCAATAACAGCTACTGTACTTGAGAAACCTATTTTCCTGAAAATCTATTTTAAGAGAAAGATTTTATAAGTTTCAAATGAAAATAGTACTGGCTGCTCAGTCAATGAATGCCAAATATTTCCTTGTAGAGAAACGGCTAATATTACCATGACCATTATCATAGTATTAAGTAGTGCGTCAGGATTTGTTAAGGTTTTCAGGAACGAAGAACAGGTTGAAATCGTATCAAAGAAAATGCGTTTGAAGCTCAAAGCAATCGTAATTCATCAAAGCAAAAAAAGAAAAAAAACGCAAAACTCTAATTCAAAAATTTAAAATTCAGTGCCTTCACACCTCCAGCGTTCCTCTCGGTACATAATTATAACCGGTGCCCGCGTTTTTATATTTCCCCGTTCTACACAGATATAATTGCATCAACAAAACGTATTACTTTAGTCTAATGAAGTCCTTCTAGAAGATGAAATGCGTTAAACAGAATTGTTTCGACTTTTTCGTTCATTTTTCTAATATTTACATATATAATAATGGCTGGTTACTCATTTTAAAACTGCTGCTTTAATTAACAGAGAAAGCAATTCACTGAGATGGAAATGTATAAAAAGTGCTCTGATTGCTAGATCATCCATGAAATATTTTGAGTCCCAATTCTTACACTATTTCACCTTTTTTGTCCAATCTTCTGTTATCACAATGGGTGATACGGAATAGAAAAAGTGATTAAAGCAAAAACCCATGGAAACTGAATGAGATCAGCTAGACTGCATGGTCAGACACGTGTTCAAAAAAAAAAAAAAAATTAATTTAAAATCTCAGCGTTCCCCTCGGGACATAATTATAGCAAACGCTCGCTTGTAGTAGCCGGGAAACTTTCAAGGCTTTCTTGTTTAAATTTTGTTTGCTTTCCATCTTTCTTTTTCTCACTGAAATCAAACAGCGTCTCAGATATGACTTTTCTGTCTCTGATCCCTTATCAAAACGCAACAGTCTATTATTTATGAGGTATTAACAAGTCGTTTCTTTCTTTCTTTCTTTCTTTCTTTCTTTCAGTGCGTTTCTTTCTTTTTTTTTTCCTCTAAAGCGTTTCTTTCTCTCTTTCATTCTCTCTTTTTCTTACTGAAACCAAACAGCATCACTGATATGTCTTTTTTCCGTCTATCCATGCGTCAAAACAGAATAGTTCATTATTTATGAAATATTGTCAAGGGAGGTACGGTGGAATAATGGATTGCGTCTCCGAGTTCGAATCACAGTCGAGTTCATTACATTCAGTTACGTCTTGGGAAAGGTATGAGTCAAACTCTTCTCCCCCAGCTATGGATAAATAGTAGGACCGATCTCGGAGAAGGAAAAACTGAATTCAAAACTGTATGACAAAGAACATGCTATGCAGCTAAGGAATGGATCGTTCGCATTGATTCGATGATCACGACTACGGTGGACTCCTTAACAAACTGGGTTCTACAGCCTTGGGTGGCAATCTGTCTAGGATAAGGAAAACTCAATTCAAAGCAGGGTGAAGCCCTGGTGAAGCGCATACTATTGCAGCTAAGGAATGGATCGTTCGCATTGACTCGATGATCCCGACTACGGTGGACTCCTTAACAGACTGGGTTCTATAGACTTGGGTGGAAATCGGTTTAGGAGAAGGAAAACTCTTAATTCAAATCAGTGTGTAGCCCTTAGCTGCAATAGTATGCTATTGCAGCGAAGGAAAAGATCGTTCACATTGACATTGACGGCAAGCCGTTTGTTTCTCTATTTCTTTCTTTCTTTCTTTTCTTTCTTTCTTTTCTTTTTTTTCTTTTCTTTTCTTACTGAAACCAAACATATATGTCTTTCCGTGTTTCAAAACGAAACAGCCCATTATATATTAGATATTCACAGCGCGTTCCTTTCTCTTTTTCTTACTTTCTTTTCCTTGCTGAAACTAAGTAGTGTCTCTGTTATGTCTTTTCCGTCTTTCCACGCTATCAAAACGGAATAGTCCATTATTTATTAGGTATTGTCAGGTTGTAACTTATGTACGTGCTAACTTAGGAACTAAGGGAAGGATCAGCAGAATTATAAAAATATAGATTTCCTGCAGAAAAGAATTCCTAGACAAAATCTCTATCAATTATTCTTCTTCCGCTAATATTTGTTTTCTTCTGAAACATCCTTCCTCTTTCAAATACGTCACTTCCGGTGCTCGCTTGTTACTGGGATGACCTCTGCTGACCGTGACTTTTCAGTGGAGCTTTTTCTTGATAGTTCCGTATTTAATTATGACTTTTTTTAATCATTTCACACCAAGCAAGGCGGGGGTGCCATTAGCAGGCAGGTGGGGGGTACAGAGAGGGAAATGAGGGAAAAGAGTGGGTATAAGGGGATTGAAGAAAAGATAAAAGATGAACGGGGATCAATTCAACAGAAAATGGCGATTGACGTAGCATTTAAATTTTTGAAGATTATCAGGGAAACAAGTAAACGGAAAAGAGTTCCACAGGTGGAAAGTGCGAGAAAAGAAACTGTTAAAGTAGAAGTGAGGGTTGCATTTAACTATTTCGACAGCAAAAGTGTGGTACCTAGATGTCAATCTAGTACCACGCTTAAATTCATGGGAAAAAAAGCTTGTTAAGAGCAGTTGCCATGAAAATATTTGTAGAAAAGACAGAGGGAAGCCACGTCGCGTCTGTGGGAAAGTGACTGAAGCCGAGATGCCAAGTCAGGACCGATTACATTGCAGATCTTTCTTTTTATTTTGTCGAGAACCTTGAGATGTACAGAAGGGGTCCAGACAAGGTAATGGCAACAGTATTCAATGCACAGACGAATGGTAGATTTGTCAAATGGACTCTGACGAGAAAAAAAACTTCTGGCACGACACAGTGAACCAAACTTCCTTGCAATAGATGCAGTTATTGAATCAATGTAGTTGTTTGTGAACTTGATGATATATTGTCATTTCTGTTTATGAGTTCTATCCCTGTGCCGTTAATTCTGCAAGGAACGGTTTCGTAAAAGTAAATTAATGTAAATGGGGAATAGAATTTATGTATGTGAGTCCGTGCATTTGCGTGTAAATATATTTACGAACGTCACGTACATATATGTATATATATATTTTTTTTTTTGCTGAATTTCGTTTGATTAAGAGTATAAGGTAGGACTTAAAGATTCATATAATAATCAGAATAATGAATAATGTTTTTATTTTTTATTTTTAGAAACATAATTATAAGTAGTACGTAAGGATTAGTCAACGAGTTATAAGATTGGTATTTAAAACGTAGAAACATTGGATTAAACTATGCAAGAACAAGTCCAGCTTACTTCGTTATGGATTCCGGTGGAATAGCTCGAATCAAAACCAGATGGAGCAAAAAGACAACGCAATATAGGAGGGAAGCGTGAAAAGCCTTTATTTCATTGGCTGACGTTAACTGACGTATGTCTATAAGAACGGTCGGACTCCTAGCCATATCTGAATTTTCCTTTGCAATGTCGATTTGCGTAGCACGACGCTATCAAGGAGGCGACCTTTTGGAATCAGTTCGGGGTTACTTTTTGAGCCGATATAATGCAAAACCCGAAATCGCCGATGAGGACAGTGCATCACTGAAGACCACCTTTGATGCATCTGAAATGTATTAGGCAACTAGATTCAGTGGAAACAAGACGAACAATAACTGAGCAGTACTAAATGACTTTTACAAAGAATAATGATTTAGTGATACAAATCTTACTAATTAATCCATAGCTGGGGGAGAGAATTGGTGGATACAGTATTTGGTATTTTCAAGCAAAAATGTTTGTAATTAAAAAAAAAAACAAACAAAAAAGTTACTATACATTTGGATTTTAAACTATATATATATACACACATATACTAGATATTTAGGACATAGTTAACGATCCTTTTCTTTATATATGTGGCGCCCGTTGGACTCGAGTGACCATGGATCTGCGCCCAAAGAAGTTATGCCTCAGCAGCTGATGCTGACTAGAATCGATGAGCACCTCCTGAAGGCCGGTAGGGAGAGGGGGGGCAATGAACGAAATGTTTTGACAACAACAAAGATAAAGACAACAGTCTGAGTGTAAATAAGTATATACATTTATTTATATTATATAGAAAGTCATAATTTTTTCATGCCTATGTATACAGAAAAAATGATACAAGCGAGTTCGGAAATGATCTCGATTCGGCACATAAATGCTGTGTCGAAAAGTTCTCAAACCAACCTACAAATAATCAAACATAAGAATGCATTTATCAACGTGATTTGACGAGTATCGACCTGCTAATAATATACGGCTCAATTTCCAAGTGCTGAATGTTTGCCCACGTTTCTCGGTGTTGAAATTTGTAATAAGAATTTTTTATTTATGTATTTTTTATTTATTTATGTATTTTTCTTATTTTTCTTAGGTCGATTTTTCCTCTGCAGACCCTGTCACCCTAAAAGCTAGCAGTGAATGACCAACTGTTTCCCGCTGCCAATTATTCCTGAAGAACAACGCTGAGAATCCAATAAACATTCAAACCAATGCTTAATAACCATTCCTGGCAAGCAATCGACTCTAAATAAATCATTTCTGTAAAATCCAGGTCAATCTTTCATTTAACAAGTTACATTTGCCTCTTGATATGGCATGAGAGACAATCCAAGAACTTCATCCAAGCATTTTTGGCGTCGTGAAAGTGGACTCTCTCTCTTCCTTTCTCTCTCTCCCTCCAACCCCATCTCTCTCGCTCACTCTCTCACTATCTCCTCTCCTCTATCTGTCTCACTTTCACTCTCTCTCCCTCCCTCTCTCGCTCCCCCTCAATCTCTCCTCTATCTCTCTCCCTCTCCTCTATCCGAACACCTCCATCCCACCCGTATGGGATTCTCTCTCCTCCCCTCTATTTTTTTCCTCTCCCTCCCTCTCTCAATCTCTTCTTCTTTATGTTCTCCTTACTCTCGCTCTCTCTCTCCCTCGCTCCTCTTCTATCTATCTCTCTTATTAAATTCACTTTCACTCTCTCCCTCCTCTCTCTCTCTTCTCTCTCCCTCTCTATAAAATATATCTCTCGTTGTTCTCTCTGTCCCTCCCTTCCTCCCCATTCGCTCCTCTCTCCCTCTCTAAAAATCCTCTTTCTCCAATTACTCTCCCCTCCCTCTCAGATCTCTTTCCCTCTCATCTTTTCGCTCTCTCGCTCTCTCTCCCTCTCTCGTTCACTCTCTCTCTCTTCCCCTCTATCTTTCTCACTTTCATTCTCTCTCTCACTCTCTATCATCCCCTCTTTTTCACTTTCTCTCTCCCTCCCTTCTTCTCTCTCTCTCTCTCTCTCCCTCTCTCACTTGCTTTAGTCGTTTCTGTTCCTTTTCTCTTTCTTTTCTTGCTTTTTTTCCTTCTACCGATTTTCTTTCTTTTTCCTTTTGCTTTTCTTTCTTGTCTTCATTTTCTTTCTCTCTTTCTTCTTCCTGTCTTTCTTTATCGCTTCTCTCTTGTTTTATCCCACTTTTTTCTCTTTTCTTCTTTCTTTATTTAGGTGATTTCTTTCTTCAACTTCTCATTTTTCAACCATTCATTTTTCTTATTTCCTTCAGTCTTTCATAATGTCTTTTTTTTTCGTTTGTTTTTTTCTTCATTTTCTTTCTCTTTTTCTTCACCACTTCTTTCTTTCTTCTTCACTCTAATAATTTCTTTCATTTTCCTTTCCTTCCTTCCTTCTTATATTTCTATATTCTCTTTCTTTCTTTTTTTCGCTTTAAACTTCTTTTTCATTAGTTTTCCACCTTTCTTCTTTCTTTCTTTCTTTCTTTCTTACGTCGTTAAATCTTATATTTTCCAAATATTTCTTCATTTTTTTCTCTCCTTCTTTCCTTTACTTTCTTTCTCTTCTCGTTTCATTCTCTGTTTTACATTAACTCATTCTCCCTATTCATTCTTTCCGATTTCATTCTATTTGGCTTCATTGTCGTCTTCTTCTTTACTTGCCTTCCTTCATTTTTTTCCTTCTTTCATTCTCTGCTCTTGTTTTATCTTTCATTTCTTTTCTTTATTTTCCTCCAACTTAATTTCTCTCCTTGCGTTCTCCTTCTTTCATTCTCTCTTTCTTTCGTTTTCTCATTCTTTCGTTTCCTCTCTCATCATTTCTTTCTCTCCTTTTCAAACTCTCTTCTTTTCTCCTCTCTTTTATATTTTTCCCGCGCCTTATCGTCCAATAAGCGGTCAAAGTTCAGAGAAGTTATTTACCGCTTCCAAGTCAGCGATCAACTTGATTCATTATTAGCCCTTTCACTCGCCTTGACATAGATCCAGACCAGTTGTTTCCTAAATGGACAAAACATCATCTCCTGCAGGTGTCGGTAAGTTCTGTGGAAAGGAAATGGTAATGTGACGTTTTAAGCGCTACATGACGTTAGGTAACCTTTGATCTATCGGAGATGCTAAATGAAAACGCAAACAAAATTATTGTTTCTCGGAATTGGTAAAATTCCAAGGTTATTTTCCACCTGTGCAGGGGTGAAGAAATTTAATAAAACATCCCTTGCCCTTACCAAAGCTAGAGCTTTTGAAGGAATTCTATTTATGGAAATAGAAAAATCGAATTTCCGCAGATGTGGCTCAAGGAACACCAAACCGGGTCAAAATTCCAGTATGCTCCTCGCTATTAAACCGGAGCATGGAACAAGGATCTATTTGAACTGCTGGGAAAATCTATTTCGTAAAGATGTTACAGTAATCCACAACTATATTTGAATCAAACCGCCTATATAGGGACAAAAATTTAATTGAGTCGTTATGCAAAAATAGAAAGGAACGTGAGACAAGGATGTGTCTTCTCGCCGGACTTATACTCTACAGTGACGCTCTCTTAAGGGAACTGGAGACCCTACCAGTTGGGCGCGGGATCTTAACAATATGAAATACGCAGATGACACTGTGTTGATGGTCGAATCGAAAAGGAGACGACAGTGTCTCCTAGAAAGAGAAGCAAGAGAAAAGGACTTACCATTAACTACAAGAAGACAGAACGTAACATCATCGGCAAAAGAAAAATTCCTAGATGCGAGTTACGAAACGGATTTATAAACATCAAGCTGGTGCAGAAGTATAAATATCTGGGAAGCGTTTTAACAGAGGATGAATAAATGTGACACCAAGATCCGAACACGCGTTGGACTAGCGAAAGAAGCATTTTCCAAAAGCTAAGCAAGGTGCTGAGAAACAGGAGAACATTGTCAGAAACAAAGAAAAGAGTGCCAGATTGCAATGTAATATCCATCCTCTTATATTGCAGTGAATGTTGAACAATTTCCCAACGGATGAGGAAAAAAGTAGACACAGCAAAAATGTGGTTCTACAGAAGGATACTGAGAATCTCATGAACGGGGCGAGTAAGCAACAGACAATTCTTAAAGAAAATAACAAGAACACTTCTACTCAAAATTAGGAAAAGACAGCTGAAATTACTTGAACACATAATGAGGAAAGAAGGCTCAGAAAACTAAACACTCAGAGGGTATATTGAGTTCAAGAGAGATAGTGGAAGGCAGCGAGCCCCTTAACTTACAAGGTTTTGTGAGTGGATGGCAGAATGAGGTGAGTTTTAACTAAGTGGGAAAAACTGCTAAGAGCCACAAGGGATAGGAAGTTGTGGAGATCCATGATCGCGTATGTCCTGAAGAGACGCGACACATAGAAGAATTTTTTCATTTTTAATCCATTCCTTCCTTCCATCATTCCTTACTTCATTCATTTCTTTCCTTCCTTTCTTTCTTCCAATCCTTCTTTGTTACCTTCCTTCAATCCTTCTATCCTTTCCTTCCTTCCTTCCTTCCTTCCTTCCTTCCTTCCTTTTATCATTCCTTCCTTTCTTCATTCCTCCCTTCCATCATTTCTTCTTTCATTAATTTCTTGCATTCTGTTCTTACTTCCATTCCTTTCTTCCTCCCTTCTTTACTTCAATCTTTCTTTCCTTCCTTCCTTCCATCCGTCCTTCTTCCATTCCTTCCTTCATTCATTCCTTCTTCCTTTCTTTCTTCCATTCCTTCCATTCTTCCTTCTTTCTTTCAATCTTTCTTTCCTTTTCTTTCCTTCCTTTCTTCATTCATTTGTTTCATTCCTTTTTATCTTCCTTCTTTCCTTCATTTCTTCTTCCCTTTCTTTCTTTCCTTCGTTTCTTCCTTCTATCATTCCCTCCTGCTTTTCTCCCTTCCTTCCTTCATTCATTCATTTCTCTCATTCCCTTCTTTCTTCTATTCCTTCATTCCTTCTTTCCTTGTTTACTCCCTTCTTTCCTTCATTCCTCATTTTCTTTCATTCCTTCCTCTTTTCTTCCTTCCTTCCTTCTTGTCTCCATTCCTTCCTTCCATTCTTCATTTCTTCTTTCTTTCCTTCCTACATTTATTTCTTTCATTCCTTCCTTCCTTCCATCCTCCTTTCCATCTTTCATTCCTTTCTTCATTGATTCATTTCATTCTTTCTTTCTTACATTCCTTCCTACCACCCTTCCTTCCTTCTTTCCTTTCTTTCCTTCCTTCCGTCCTTCATTTCTTTCTTTCTTCTTTCCTTCTTTCGTTCCTTCCTTCATTCATTTCTTCAATCGTTCTTTTCTTCCTTCTTTTCTTCCTTCCTTCTTTCCTTTCTTCCTTCATTCATTCCCTTCTTTCTTTCATTCCTTCTTTTCTCCCTTCCTTCCTTCCTTTCTTCATTCCGTCTTTCCATCCTTTTTTTCTTCTTTCATTCCTTCTTTTTCCTTCCTTCCTTCCTTCCTTCTTTCCTTTCTTCCTTCATTCATTCCTTTCTTTCTTTCATTCCTTCTTTTCTCCTTCCTTCCTTCCTTTCTTCATTCTTTCTTTCCATCCTTTTTTTGCATCTTTTTCATTCCTTCTTTTCTTCCTTCCTTCCTTTCTTTTTTCCTTTCTTCCTTCATTCATTTTTTTTTTTCTTTCATTCCTTTCTTTTCTCCTTCCTTCCTTCCTTCCTTTCTTTCATTTTCATTTCCATCCTTCTTTGCATCTTTCATTTCTTTCTTTTTTCCTTCCTTCCTTCCTTCTTTCTTTTTCTTCCTTCATTCATTCCTTCTTTTCTTTCATTCCTTCTTTTCTTCCCTTCCTTCCTTCTTTTCCTTTCTTCATTCCGTCTTTCCATCCTTCTTTTTTTCTTTCATTCCTTCTTTTCTCCCTTCCTTCCTTCCTTCTTTCCTTTCTTCCTTCATTCATTCCCTTCTTTCTTTCATTCCTTCTTTTCTTCCTTCCTTCCTTCCTTTCTTCATTCCGTCTTTCCATCCTTCTTTGCATCTTTCATTCCTTCTTTTCTCCCTTCCTTCCTTCCTTCTTTCCTTTCTTCCTTCATTCATTCCCTTCTTTCTTTCATTCCTTCTTTTCTCCCTTCCTTCCTTTCTTCATTCCGTCTTTCCATCCTTCTTTGCATCTTTTATTCCTTCCTTCCTTCCTTCCTTCCTTCCTTCCTTCCTTCATTTCTTTCATTCCTTTCTTTCTTCCATTCCTTCTTTTCTCCCGTTCTTCCTTCAATCCTTCTTTCCTTTCCTTCCCTCCTTCCTTCCTTTCTTTCTTCCGTCCTTTCTTCCTTCTTTCATTTCTTACTTCATTCATTTCTTTCATTCTTTTCTTTTTTCTATTCCTTCCTCCCTTCCTTCAATTCTTCTATCTTTTCTTTCCTTTCTTTCCTTCCTTCCTTATTTTCTTGCTCTCTCTTGCTTTCTCATTCTGTTTCTTCTTGTTCTTTTCTTTCGTCGTCTTTTTGTTGTTTCTTTCTTTCTTGCTCTCTATTTTTTCTTGTTATTTTCTTTCATTGTTCATTTCTTTTCTTTTTCCATTTCTATCTTTCTTTCATGCGATTTACTTGTTAGAATTTTCGATATGGACATCTTTGACAACAATAAACCCTTTTATGGTCAATAACCTCACAAAACATTACTAAATCTGGCTTACTGTTATCTCCGTTTCCAGTTCTATCAGTTTCATGAAGGTGATCTGGCGTTTACAAAAATAAATCTACCAAGAAACACCGATAATGAAAACCTATAAACACTGTCCATTAACTGATAAGGAAACATAGGAAGTAGTGGAGAACCATGAACCAGGTTGCTTAGAAGCACAACCACTACTATGTCATAAATGAAGTAGGCCCTGATTGTTCACCGTTGCAAAAAATGCCTTCATTTATTCGATACATTTTTTTAGGAAAAGAATAGTGATGAGCAGTGACAGTTGGTGATGTTTTGGTTATGCCTGGTGCCGTCTCCTTGATAGTACGCCCCTAAGACTCAAGTAAGGGGGTGCCTATAGGGACTAGGACTGATAAATGTGAAAATTGAATATATCTAAATAAGTAAAAA